TTGTTTTATACTATAATAAATTTCCATGACCACATATGGAAACGTTTTTGCCACTTTTTATCATTTGCTAGTCCAGCTATCACGAAAGCAGCGAACTGAGGTCAAATCAACCCCGCTGTACAAGTAGTTTGGATCGACCAATTAAAATCATTTTTTTTGTCTATTTTCATTATGGGGTTAAAAGTACTAACAAATGGATTTTATATTTTCTTATTTTCCGTTAAAACTAACCAACCAATCATACTAAGTTTTATATCAGCTTCAAGCCAATGGGCCAATTCGAACAAAGCAATAGTCTGTGAGTGAGGGAGTAAGAAACGAGCTCGGAACAGCCGAAAACCTCAAATTTCTTGAAATTCCCTATCTATTGGCGTGAGAAGCTGTTATAAATCGGCGTATTCCGACAAAACTGTAGGGATTTTTTTCATCTTTTCTTCACGAATTGGTAGATTAATATTTTTTACATCATAATCCGTTTGGGCCATTACAAGAAAATCATAGATTTTGTACCAAAAATGTACTTTTGTGAAAAAAAATTTCAGTTTTCTCCAATGGTTAAGGCGACCATGGAGAGCAAATGATACAACGTTTCTATGTGGACCTTTTCTTTTGAACTTTTCTTTCAGAAATGTTATCACTGTCTTTAGTGTGTAGTGCATTTAGTTATTCCAAATAAGTGTGGAAATGATGAATAACATTAGTAGTAGTAAAACTATAAATGCTTTTAAGAAACTGGTTTGCTATGTTCGGCATACCGATTGAGCTTGTTTCAGATAATAGTTCCTATCAGAAGAGTTTGAACTATTTCTTACTAGAAATGTATTCAGCATACATTATTTATCATATCATTTTCATACACTATCCAGCATCTAATGGTGCAGCTTTCAAATTTGTGACCCAAGACCACAAAACGGCTGTAAACTCGCATCACCAGGTTTCGAGAAAAAGGGCCAAATAGACAGTATAACATTTAATATGACCAAAATGTGATTATGTCTTAAATATAAAGTATTACCTTTAGTCTTACTATTTTTTAAGTTTGGGTTCAATATTTCAACTCTAAACCCTAACATTTAGTAATTTTATGAAGGTCATTCTACGAGAAACTAAAACACCAAAAGCTATCGGATAATAATACGTTTATTAGTACTCGTATGCTATGTAAGTGATTTCAGAATAAACAAACAGTATAGTTATAAAATAATAGAATGGTCACAGAGCCAGGTTAGACCTCTGAGAACATTTTGGTTCTTTATAGTGAAGTTAATCTAAAACGTCTTCATGAAGTCATTCAAAATCGTGTACAAAATAGTTGAACAAACTTTAAAGAATGAAAGTATTTGCAGTGATTCGTACTGTGGTACGAAGCTTTTTGAGTCTTTTTCCCACGCTTTGCATGAACTGGTTGAGAAGACGCGAGTACATCCCTACTGATTGCGGTTTACTCTAATTAAATTGTCTCAAATTTACGAAAACAAGACTGATAAAAGTGCGTCTAGCTCGCGAACTTGCAAAAAGTAGCAGCTAAATTTGGTACCATCATAAAGCTAAGGCTATACTGAAGATGGTGATGTAAAAATGAAAGCATGAATCCATATGAATCTAAACTTTCTCTCCTACTATTCTAAAAATAGATTTTTAAATATTTTTTATGTCGTTTTTCAACGTTTTATTATTGATGCAAATTTCAAATTTAAACCAAAACATATATTTGTGTTTCCCAATTTATTTACAAGAAACGTATACATTTTGAAGTAATTCCGAATTTTCTGTAAGAAAAAAAAACGTGTTTTGATATAATGTAGTCAATTATATCATTTGAAATATTTATAGAGAAATTTACAAAATGTCTGTCTGACATAAATTTATTGACTAAATAGTGTCTACCAGAGAGAAACACAGGATTTTAATAATTAAAACCTTTTTTACCAATTCAATTGATAGTACAATTCATCTAGAGCGTGATAAATAATTGATTATGCTTCAGGTTGAATTCTGTATTGTAAGTGTAATTAAACTTGTTTCAGCAGTATGTTTCTCGAAACTCTACATTATTTGTGCAGGCATAGACCTACTATATTTCCAAAGTTAATTTATAGCATATTGTATCCTGTATATTCATAGAACATGTTTTATTTAATTGCATATTGTTATTCCTTGCATTATATGTACATCATTCGTGTTTCTTGCACTTGTACTTGACTCTTGCATATTTCACAATATCCTTCACGTCGTGTAAATATCATTATCGTATAGTCATTGTTATTCCTTGCATTAAATTCCTTGCATTATTATTATTATTATTCGTGTTTCTTGCACTTAATTATTCATAGAGAAATAAGCAACTTACTTAAATTGTGAACATTATATCATTCGCAGAGACCTAATAATAAGATTTATCTTTCCTAAGATGTACAATTGTCCTACGAAATTTAATTTGGTCAGTGCTACCACCTGTGTCCAGATCGGAATGGGTGGTGACAGGTTTGCCAGACTTCTATTTCCAGGCATCCAGAAGTACCATATTTCCAACATAGACTCTATCTCCATGCTAACTTTATTTCTTATGGCTGCCCCTTGAGGGAAGGGGCTAGTGACCCTACAAGTTGTCAGCATCCATTTCTGGGCATTCAGAGTTGCTAAAAAAAGGTTGTTCAACAACCATCATGGGTCTGGAGTAGATGCTCTCAGACCCCACTAATTTTAATTTTAAAATCCTGTATCCGTGGATAGGGGTAGCAGGTCTTTTTACAACCAAAATTGTTTGCCCCACCCCCTGCTCTGACTAATGGCCGGACCACTTGCAAAATTCTTCCGACGGCTATATAACATCAGTATTGCTTTCATTAGGCGGCGGGAGGGGGAATTTAGCACAATCCCATCAGCCCTTGGCCTAATTTGATTTACATCACTAGTCACACTGACGTAGATTAAAATGACTATAACGTTAGACGACCGCAGTGTGAATGAAAAGGAGATTGAGTATTGTACGATATAATAATGAATGTTATTAGATGTCAATAATAATAAATACATAAATAATATGTAAACAGATAAACAAATGAATAAATTAAAACAAATATACAAATATATATAAACAAATAAAAATGCACAAATAAACAATATGAATAAAGAGAAAAGCAAACAAATTAACAAATAAAATAAGCAAATATACATAAAAAAAATGAACAAACATACACATTCTGGTATCACTGGGCCTAGGCTAGTTCGTGGCCCAAGGTCTAGACCTGTCGTCAGCAGGTCATGGTCAGACCTTGTTGCTTGCGCGAAAAAAATGCAACCCTTTAATTAAAATCAGCGATTCATCGTCGACGATTCACCTGTTTAATCATCGACGATTCGCTGTTTCATAATCGACGATTCAAACTTGTTTCATAATCGACGATTTACTTGTTTCATCAACGACGATTCACTTGTTTCATCGCCGACGATTCATTTGTTTTATCATCGACGATTCACTGGTTTATATCATCGACGATTCACTTTGTTCATCATCTACGATACACTTGTTTCATCATCGACGATTCACTTTTTTAATCATCGACAATTCACTTTTTATCATCGACTATTCACTTTTTTCATCATTGACGGTTCACTTTTCATAATCGACGATTCACTTTATATAATTGAAGATTCCCTTTTTTCATTATCGACGGTTCACATTTAATCATCGACCATTTAATCTTTTCATAATCGACGGTTCACAATTCACCATCGACAATTTAATCTTTTCATAATCTTCGGTTCACTAATTACAGTATCATCAAATTGTTGCTCGAACGGCGTTCCATAGAAATCGATTCAAGTTTTGGGATAAAGTGCAGGTAGATAATTTAAATTTTAGGAAATTATGTTTTATGCAATCACGAACGTGAGAACTTTAACCTAATAATAACATGTTTTATGTTGTTTGTTGAATGGACTTTTTAATAATAATATTACAGTCTAATATGAACACAACATAAAGAAGTCCGCTTTGTAAATGCTTATCATAATATACAGGGAATTCCGATCTTCAATCAATGTCATTATACGGCCTACACATGTTAGATCCAAATTCCAAGACATTACGTTTTTGACACACACCAGCGAGAAAAATTTAAACGTAATAATGTACATGTTTTATGTTATGTGTTAAATGGTCTTAGTTAATAATATTACAGTTTAAAATTCATATTATAACAACTTGGTCATAATATAACTTATTCTTAAAGGAAGCAGAATAGCAATTCTGTCAACAACTGTACCCACAACAGTACATTGCGCAGCCGATTTAATTACAGTCAATTTAATTAATAGTCAAACAATGCAAAAATGTATTGAATTTTTGTCTATATTTTTGTCTTTGGTTGAGGTAGGTGGTACTTTTGACAGAAAGAGTTGGACTTTGCCAAACCACTTAAATATATTTTTAATCATTTTATCTCTCACCCTGACCTCGCCATGGCGAAAAATGCGAAGGTCTGGATCCACGCCTGCATGTATTGATTTAAGTAGGACCATAGCATTATTATTGTTCGTTCATAGGTCTAATCTTAGATTTTTGTCAATGTCAAAAGGCATACCAAATTAACAATAATGCTGTGAGTAACAATCTTTCTCTAGAATAAACCTGCCTGTTTTGACTTCAAAGTGTTTGTTTTGTTTCATCATAGCCCTGATGTTAGTTTAAAACATATTGTATAAAAACATATATATTTTTTAACTATGTATTAGATTACTACTAAAGAACATCGTTAAAATTGGTGTATACAATGATAAAATGGCAAATTTTATCCGGGGGTTCCGGCCGTGAACCGCGACCGGGGGCCCTTGGCGGCCCCCAGGTACCCAGCCTCGGTACTCGCTTCGCTCGCAACCTGACCACTTCAATTCTCGTGGCTACGGCCCTGATGTATTAGGAAAATAAAACTAGGGATTCGTTTGACTGATGTAACTGTTGCCACTGCCTTTTCTTTTTTTTTCTTTTTTTATCAACAGATGTATCGGCGACGTCTTTTATCGTGCTTGGTTATATGTGTTGGCATACAGATATTTCTTGGTCTGTCATATATTCTATTTGAAAGGAAGTATTATACGCATTCCATTGGGAAGTTTGTGCTAGAGAACAAACTGGAGTTTCAATACTCGGTGGACATTCATTCGAAAAGAAAATCAAACAGGTCACGTGATCATAGACAACAACTACATAATCATAAACGTCACAAATCACATGGATTATCAAGAAGTAATTTCCTTTATATTATTATTATTATAGAAAGATTATATTAAGATATATATTATATTAAGAAAGATGGAAATATAATGAATAAATTTAGTGTTGATAAAAAATAATAATTAATATAATTAATTTTAATGTGGTCAATGGGGATAATACAATTAATTATCTATAATAAAAATATTTAATTGTCATAAATTTAATCATACTTCGAATAATTTTAATTAAATTAATGATTTTTATTTTATAATGGTAATTAAAATATAAAATAAAGTATGTTAATTTAAATACAACATCCAATTAAGAACAACTAAGCAAAACAATGACGACTAAATAATATTGATAGTTTATAATTAGTACAAAAGTAATATTTATTCGCTATTTCTATTGTTTACTATCATTATAAACGAATGATGTGGTGTGTTCTCTTCTATTCTACTGGGGTTTTTTTTATATAGTTTTTGTTTCTGCTCCTTTTATACATCGAAATTGGAATCAGAATTAAAATATATTCAGTCAGTCTGTAAGTCAATCAATCAATCAATCAATATTATATTGCTATACAAAAATCAAAACTTGGAAAAATGTCCGAATCCTTCCACTAAATTTACAAAATGCCCCGAGTATCAGATATTGTTTTAAATCACGTATGAATTATTATTTTTCAATTAAAATAAAAAGTGTCTCAACAATCTTCACAATATAATTTAATAGAATAATGGTCAATGAGTAAATAAAATAAAATAAAAAGATATATAATAATAATGGCCTAGTGGGGAAAAGGTTGATAATCATTGCTTTTCAATTTATTTAATTTTGTGTTAGTTTATGGTAGTTGCATTAGGTACCAGGGCCATTTTAAATAATAATAATAATAATAATAATAATAATGATAACGATAATGATAATAATAATAATGGTAAGTTTTGCATGATGATTTGTATTTTTAGGTTTAAAAAACACAATTTTTGCTCAGGTCCTGAAAAGGTTGGTCTAGATTTTTTGTTTTTTTTTGCTTGGACCCCCTGACCCCCAGATTCGCCAGTAATCAATTAATCAATCAATCAATTAACATTATGCTAATAAATATTCTTATATTATTATTAGTATTATTATTATTATTTCAGTTAATCGAGCAATGTGCTGTCGTAACTAGCTCTCCTATTGAGCTATTAAATGCATGCAAAGAAGATAATATTATGGAGGTTTCTGAAGCTTACGAAAACGATAACGAATACGTCATCGTCATTTTCGTCATTTATGCCCTAAAGCATTCTTAACAATGCATGTACGACCTGAATATGGATTCATGTGAAAGGTATGGAAGGCCAACTTGTGATAGATACGCTACTGCAGGGGATGGATTGACTAAACGTTTGATGACGTAACCATATTCGTTATCGATCGTAAGCTTCCAAAACCTCTCTAATATCTTATATGCATTATTATCGTAAGTACAAAAGAAACAAAATTATATGCATATATGTGTAAATTTAGACTTTTGCTATGAACTTTTTCAGATAGGTTAGTATTTTTTTTTCAGATGACGTTTACATAAATAGTACGGATGATATTCTGAACCGATTGATAGCTAATGAGGACAGTCTCTTTTCATCTTCAATATGGACGGATTCGGAAAGCAAGTGTAATATTCCGTATGTAGATGAGCCGAAGGGTCTTTGTCGGAACATCTCATGGCAGTGTAACTACAGTCCAACGTTTACAGTCCAAGACAGAAGTAAAAGGTCGGTTGGTATAATAATAATAATAATAATAATAATAATAATAATAATAATAATAACAATAATAATAATAATAATAATAATAATAATAATAATAATAATAATAATAATAATAATAATAATTGGAGGAATTTCATCTAGTCTTTAGTTGAATTAGTATACTGTGAATAATTCTTCAATAATAAAAGTTTAATAATAATAATAATGGTAGCTGTCAGCGACCGAAACTGTCACTTAATCAAAACTTTTAGTCTATACATTGGAGAACCATTCACAATATACTAATAATAATAATAATAATAATAATAATAATAATAATAATAATGATAATGATAATAATAATTATTATGATAATGATAATAATGATAATAATAATAATAATAATAATAATAATAATAAGAAAAATAATAATGATAATGATAATGATAATAATAATAATAATAATAATATTAATAGTAAAAACTAATTATTATATTATTATTATTAACATTATTATTATTATCATTGTTATTATTATTATTATTATTATCATCATCATCATTATTATTATTAACAGGCTTTGGGGCATACATTATTTGAAAAACGCCATTATAAAAACTAGATGATCATGAAATAAAAACATTTTTACAGACATTAACACGACAAAACGGAACAGAAAATAAATCACATTGATGAAGATAGTGAATGGAGACTAACACAAATACGAGATGGTTATATTCAAACAAATAAACACATTTGAATAAGAACGAAAGGTTAAAGTGCATACGTTTAAATGACGGACATTATATTGCTTATTGAGCGTGTCAACGATAACATAAAATTTCCCTTTTATTTTAATTAGTTTTAATATCCATACTTTGTTTCGAAGTTGTATTCATTGTTCCATTTCATTTCAGTACCTGGTTAAGACTTTCGTATTATCACTTGTTAATGAAAATCGTGTTCTAAACACATTTTGTAGTTTTGATTGGTTTGTATGAGACGGGAATAGCTTAAAATATAATTTATATTTCTACTAACCAATATACCGACGGATGTTTGTCTTTAATGTGATGTCGGCAGAGTATAACTATTATTATTATTGTTGATATTTATTATTAATATTATTATTATTATTATAATTATTATTATTGTTATTATCATTAATAATAATAATAAGAATAATATTATTATTATTATCATTAATAATAATAATAATAATAATAATAATAATAATAATTATTATTATTATTATTTTTATTATTATTATTGCCATTAATATAAATAATTGTTATTTCCTTCAGTACTTTGAAAGTATACTGTGATGGCTTATTCCGAGTGAATTTTATCAGTCGCGAAGAAAGCGAATTCCCACATTCTAATCATGAACATCACAAGGACGCTGTTTATCGCACCTACGAAGGTCCAACTGAAATCAACTTCACCTCGCAATATGCTGACGTAATCTGCAGTAAATCGGTGAATGGCAAGTAAGTACGGACAGCATTCACACTGGGCATGCGTCCAGGTCTGAAAACTTTGAATGGTGCTTAAGCCCTGTCCAGACCTAAATATGGTCATGATAACATCACATCATGACTATATATGGGTATACAACTTTTTTGTTTTTGTCAAATAAAATTTCATAGTCTGAACAAAGCCATAGCAACTCTCACATTATCGCGACCTAGCACTGCGACCGTACCAACCTGCGGTCTTATCCGTCTGAAGTATGACCAAAGAGTATAAAACTGCAAGAGGTCCGACTGCCCTTATTTTGTATACAGGCAATGGAACGTTAAAAAGTACTCCCACGAAGGGGCGTGTCCTTCATAATAACGTAAAAGGCGTCCGTATCGAACGCGTGCTGCGTTTCGAATTCCAGCATACATTCTATAAACGCGCAGCACGCGTTCGACATGAACGCACTTTACGTTCTTTTAAAGGCCACGCCCCTTTTGGGTAGTAATTTTTGAAATAGGATTGCGTTCCAAATAATCCCCGGCAGTCGAATCTCTTGCAGTTTTATACTCTTTGGTATGACCTGCCCTCTTGTCATTTATGGGTGGAAAGTAATAATGGCCACATTAGCCAAATGATTACGACACGTGACGTGTGAGAGCGACTACGATTCGTAGTGTAGGTCGTTATAGTGTGATAGCAGATAAGAGCAACTTGCTCGTGACAAGGCAGAGGTCGTGCATGGTCGCGGAGTTTTCAACATGTTGAAAATTTATTGCGGTTGGTACTGGTCGCCAGTCAACACATTTTAATGTAATAATATGTAAATACAGTATAGAAAACTTTTCAAAAAGCAATTTGCCCATTGAAACTCAACAAACGTGAATGTGTTCAAGAGCATTCTAATCAAGTGTGTGGCAGCGCCAATGTGAACACTTTGTGGATATTAGGCGCTATATATACATGTTTTGATTAATTGATTGATGGATTGAAAACTTTGTCCTGGTTATCAAATTACACTGCGTCCTCTTTCGGTTTCGAATCACGAGGCGTCTCTAAACAGTTTGGTGGTATTATCAGTGTTCAAAAAGTAAATACATAATGTAATGTAAATTTAAAGATGGAAAACTTTTCATAAAGCTTTGTCTAGATTATCAAATTTTCTTTGACATGAAACTGTTGTATGCCTAAAAAATTATGATATGCCGGCCCTATACTGTAAAACCTCGAATTGAAGCCCAGTAGGCTTATCTCGACAGGAAGCCCATCTCAAAATGAAGCCCCTCTTTAGTAGGCAAAATTAGCCTCGAAAAGAAACCCATAGACTTCTTTTCAAGCGTAGGCTTCTTTTTGAGATAGTACAGTACATACACTGTGCATGAATTTCAGAAAACAAAATAATTATTAAATACTAGAAATTGCAAATTGCGAGTGAAGTGCTGCGAAGTAAAACTGCATAAAATGTTCTTCAAACAAAACTATTTATGCGAGTCAAGTGAAAATAATGAATAATAAAAATATAACAAATAATATGAGACACGACCCATTGTCTATATATAGAACAGTGTTGGTACCGTGTACAATAGTGTTCTGCTGCAGTGACATCTCGCTGCTGGCGACTCGCTGCTGCTGGCGATGACTCCCTGCTGGCGAATCGATCTGCGCATGTGTATAAAATGGTATTTATTTCCGAAAACAGTATGCCAGTCTACAACAAGCGTCGCCTAAATGTAATAATTAGCACGTTGAAATAGGCTAGTAAATAAGTAAACTGGGTTCGTAAATAATATTGGCCTCAATATATTGTGGCTGAGACATGAGCCGATTAAACGTAGAAATAGGAAACCTAGAAATATAGTAAAAACGCTGAATAGTACTCCAGCGTCGCGACATGCGGACGTTGGTACGAGTAGGTTAGTCTACAAACGTCGCCTAAAGTAATTGATTTTACCTGGCAGAACGAAAGAAGGAAACTCCGCTTCTCAGTTGTCTTAGGCGCAGGTTTTTTGACAAACAATGACCTTTCAGAGGTCAAATTGCTGTCAAGAATATAAATTGGCTGCTTCGCAGCAACAAGCTTGCTTTATTCAGTAGTTTGGGTTATTTATTTATTAAATACACTCCATGGTACACATTGATGTTACAGTGGCCTTTTTCTATTGTGTTATAGGGGCCTAGTACAAATTCACCAACCAAAATAAGCCCCTTTCTTTACTTTGCAAAAGTAATCTTAAAAAGAAGCCCATCCAAAGATTTCAATTCGAGGTTTTACGGTATAATGGTCAGATGTCAGATGTTTGAATATTCATGTTGGTAATGAAACCATTGATGAGATAAAAACATCCGTTATTTAGGACTTCAAATTGATGAAAACCTTACCTGGAATGACCATATTCGAAAATTAAATAAAACTATTGGGTAAAAAATTAACATCCTAAATAAATTGGCAGAAACACTAAATGAATCTCTTCTAAATATTCTTTATAGAAGTACAATACAACCCTGTATGGACTATGCAATCTCAGTGTGGGGAACTACGTCTAACAAAAACAAAAACATTCTATTAAGGCTACAAAAACGAGCTGCTAGAATAGTTCAAAATAATTTTGATTTTATAAATTTTCGTGGAATTGATCTTATTAAGCAAAATAATTGGAAACTTTTTGATGAACGTAGAGATTACGCCCTTGCATGTTTAATGTACAAATGTATAAATGGTGTTGCGCCTTCCCGCCTATGTAATGATATTGAAATGGTTGTTGACCGACATGGATATTCTACGAGATACGCTCACTCGCTTAATGTTATCCCCCAATTCCAAATTGCTCTTTAATGAATGGCTCTTTAAAAATCTCTGGAGCAAAACTTTGGAACAAAATCCCAATCAGAATTCAAGAATGTCAATCTCTTAATTTATTCAAAATTACTTATAAGAAACACTTTTTCTGATTATCACAA